TATATATCCATATCCTTATGTCTCGATTTTTTGAAGGGGCAAATATAAGAATTTTCTTCTTTTTCTGCCGCCATTCATTTTATTTTATTTTGTATTGTTTTGTTGTGTGTGAAATGTTTTGTTTGTTTTTAATGAAATTAATAAAAATTTGAATTTGAAAGAAAAAAAATTATGCAATGCTGCCTGACTGACTAATAAGAAGAAATATTGATTTGCTCAGATGGTGGTCATATTTAGGATGATTTGGACTGAACCAACCCAAAGATGATGGAGAGCAGGTGAGCATTCAGAGATTTTTTTAACTGGGTGGCTGAGGAGCAGTGGTAGGGAAGCTGACTTAGAACCAGAGTCACAGGTTTGATTACCCAACGTCCTCACATGTCTAGATGTCTTAGAGCAAAACACACATTCCCTAGCTGCTCCCCAGGCACATAGCTGCTCCACTTGAGCTTATCTCGTGTTTTGAGTAAATACAGAACACAAACGTCATCATTGTATGGGAAAAATATACATATTACAGTTTTACAAAAAAGCTTAAATGAGTCAGAAACACTAACTTTTTTCCTTAAATAAGAGACTGCAGGAGCAAAACTATAACTTTGATATTTTGACAGCTTTAGGTATGAGGATGATGTTGCTCCACTTGAACCACTGATCACGCTCCTTAGCAGTTTTTTTCCATTTATGAATTTCTGAAAACAACAAAAGATTTTCACAGCAAAAGTTGATACGTAACTAAAAACATGATGCACTTACACATCCAGAGGTAGTACATCATTTTGCAGACCCTCCTGTACTGTTCGGGGATTTCCTCTGAGAAGTCCTGATAAAAACACGGTTTGATGGGGAAGAACTTAGGAAGTGGTGGCCAGTTGTTCTCTTTTTCTGTCGAAACAAGAGGCAACATAAAATCCACTTAGACCAGCTCTCTAAAACATCTTCAACATTCAGTTTCACACTCAGAAGGAAAGTAGTGGTAAACAACAGGAAATACAGTCGTGGGGAGGCTGATGCATGAGTCTACATATTTATCCAGAGTAAAGATCTTCAGTTTCATAATGCATCATCGATAAAATAAAATGCACACACAGCAGAAAGTCTTCCTGTCTCTGTAATCTGTGCTGCTTGTGGTGCTGCTGCAGAGAGAAGCGGGGGGAAGGGAGAGGTATCTTTAATGACCTGTTGGGGCTCTGCTCTGGAGCTCCCGCTCCCTGCGGTCCAGTTCAGCAGCTTTTCTCTCCAAATCTTCCTGCTGTTTCAGCAGGGTGGCTTGAGCTGCGGCAGCAGACGCCTTAGCGGGCAGAAAAAAAGAAAATCAAGTCAAAAAACACTCGAACGAGCAAACACTTTAGATCGGCTGGAAGTAATCTCTGTGACAATAGTGGCTTTGGAGCATCTGTGTGGAATTTCACAAACAGCTGGTGCAGAAAACAGGCTGCAAGTAGGGCTGAAATGATTCATAGAATAACTCTGCTACAGAAAAACTCAAGGGAAGATACAATGATTTGTTTAAACAATGCAACTAGGCAGTGTATAGTGGTCACATTACATACAATGAATGGACAAGTCTAAAGATTTTTAAGACAATATCAAATAAAGCAACCAGATTGTTTTGATTGTCCAACAATAAATTTCTCCCTATAGGGCAGGGGTCTGCAACCTGCGGCTCTAGGGTCACACGAGGCTCTTTGGGCCCTCTGCAGTGTCTGTTTGAAAATGTAGCCAAACATAAACAGAATTTTTAATTTTTCTGTTTGTTTTTTTATACCACAACTGAAATCAATTTGTATGCAAATATATGCTCAATACTACTAATACAAAAAGTAAAACCTGTCGATTAGCTCATGCTAGCTTGTTGTTTACTTAAATAATCCAACTTATTGCTATGATCTTTCTCTCAAATCCATCAGAATTACCTTTTAAAATTTTTGAAGACTACATAATAATAAGAATTAGAAAATAGTTTAGTTGTACTAGMTTTTATGAAATTCAATATAAACTATATAAAGTTTTTTTTTTGTTTGCATGAAAATAGTCTTTTCATTTGTCCTAATGTGTAAAAATAATAATAAATATTAAAATTCACAGTATATTTTTTAGTTTTGTAACGTCTCCTCCACTGGCCATAAAGGTTCCCGAAAAGGCCTCAAAAAGGCCCACGGACCACCAGTTGATAATCACAGTCGTAGCTTGTTTTGCGGCTCTGGACACATTTTATTTGTGAGCCGAGGAGCAGAAATGGCTCTTTTGATCGTAAAGGTTGCAGACCCCTGTTACAAGGCATCTGCATAATGAGTCAATTAGTTTTGTTACAGAGCATCGAGACCAGAAGTCCTCAGACAGAACTTTGACTCAGAACAAATAATTGAAGACAGCACATACACAAAGTTGATGGAAGAAACAATAATTGAACAGAACTAAAAGTCTTTGTTTACTGCTGTTTTTGACAGAAACCATCACAAACCATCATTCAGCTGTTACAGCAGCTGTACATGACAACACTGTTTTTTTGTTCCTGGCACCAAAGCTTTTTGAATCCAGGCCTCCAGGTAAAGGTTTTTGAAAACACCCTGCAGTTATTCTGCATTTGTGCCAGTAGATGAACAACAGTAACAAAAGGTGGATAGCAGAGTGATGCTCACTCTTCAACATGTAGAAACAAATCAACCTCATCCTCGGTCCAAACTAATGTTTGTGTAATCACTATTTTTGATGCAACCTGTGTTGTGCTTAACACTAACATGTCTGTGTGCATGTGTTGAAAGACAAGAATCACAGCATCAGCTAGTGGCCTGGCATGGAAACTACAGCAGACTCAACAAACAGCATCACTGTCTAAATGTGTAAAAGGTGCAATATGAACTTAAGAATAATGCTAATGTTTATAGATGTTGTTGTAAACCCTGTCACACTATAACCTTTTAAACAATTTCTGGTGACATACAGAAACTACGGTAAACATGCTGGTGTAAGTCGCATACATTAGCTGTCAGTGTTGAATATGTTACAAACACACTGTAACATAATGGTGTAAGTTGTCGTGGGCCAATGCCAGCCAATAATTTAGCACAAAAAATGATCAGTGTATAAGTTAAGCATACGTTACAAGTATGCAACAAGTAAGTAACGCAAAGGTTCACACATTACATTTAAGTTACTCATAAGTTGGGATACAACAGAAACCAACTGGGGAAGTAGTGAAGTGTACACATAACTTTTTTCTAACATATCAACTTATATCAGACATTTATACATCATATAAAGTCTACTATACATAAATTTCAGATGTCACCATAAGTTGTTTTTTTTACAGTGTTAAGTGTAAACATCACCAGGCTTAAAATACAAAGTTATCATGCGAGTCAGGCTAATAAAGAGCCTAACAACCTTCAGGAGGAAGGGGAGTGAGAATCATCTGCATGTGAATTTAGCTGCATGAAGCAGCATCACACGCAGTTTAAACCGTGGAACTTCACACTCTCCATATGGGAACACATACAGAATAGAAGTTCAGTTGTTTTGCTTTTTAACTTTATCCAGGATTACTGTGACTCTACACCATATATATTTAAGATTTAACAGAGAAAATCTGGACATTTAAGACATTTTAAAATGCCTAGAATTAAGAATTAGAAGTCACTGCATGATTTTGAAGGCCCTGTTGACACGCCCTGAGGGAAACTGAATATCCTGCAGACACAATGAGGGGTTTTTTACAATGAGACTAAAACTCTGATGCAGCTTCCTGAGTCACCCTGCACAAAACTGGAGTAAAGAGTTAGAAAAATGTCAGATTTGGAGCTGTATCATGGATCAGTCCTGTGGCTGTGTATTTACAACTTTATGCACAAATTTAAAAGGTTTGTCAGACAATAACCAATTACGAGAGGAATCATGAGCTGTTGGGCTTGTAGCATAAAGAACTTAATTTCTCTGCGCTGAGGAGGAATTCTCCTGCCTTTCCTTTCTAAATGATTAGGTGTTAACGAAATGTTTCTGGGAGAAAAAGAGTTTTGACTGTCCGAGGTTACTGTGCTGCACTGTGTTTCAGGTAATTCTGTATTCACCCCAAACAAAGATATGAAAGACGACTCTTAGCATCAAAGACAAAGAAAAACAAAGTTCTGTAGGCTTCCTAATAACTTAAATTTTAACTGAGCTGATCTTTTGCAGTGCACTAGTATGTGCATGAGCTTACAAATAACTTTAAAGGTGTGGAGGGGTGGAAAAACTATGATTTTTGGCAAAAACCTGACACCAGCGTTCACTCCTCCCTACACCAAGCAGTAGAAAAGAGGGAGCCCTGAAGAAAATAAACAGGCAGGCAAATTAAAATGATCAGCCTCATTTACATTTACTGGGCCATTAACTGATTTATTGCTTATCGCGACAGCCCTAGACTACATGTCCATCAAACCACCTCAGGAAACACAAACTATCTGAAGATAAAATATGATCTTAGATAAAATATCAAAACCCAGGTTTTGATATGAAGGGATGAACTTTACATGACCTCATGCTCACGTTTTAGTCACCAGCTGCTCTCGTAGTTCAGTTCATTGTCTTCTGTGTTTATGTCTCTCTAAAAAATTTTTAAAAAGCTGCACCACCTGCGTGCTACAATTACTTGGTGGCATTCAAATAAAGATAACACATCAACAGGAACACAATGGGAGGAAGTCCAGCAGCAGAGAACCCTGCTGTTTTGTTTGCTTTGCGGCAGGTTGGTGGTGAGATTAGCGGCGACGGCGTGTTTTCACCTGCGGACTGGGCTCCGTCGAAGGCTGCAGCACAGCGGGCTGGTAAGGAGTGGTGGTGGCAGGCGTGGTGTGAGTGGCTAATCCCTCCTGATGAACAGTAAAAAACAAACAAAAATAACATCAATTACGATAAGACAAAAATTATAAGGAGATTAAACGATGATAAAACTAAATTAATACGGAAATATTAAGAGTTAATAGGTGATGTATAATACAGAGGATGAGAAAAACAACCACAAAATAGGTAAAGTACATTAAGAAAATAGAATGAAAAAAAAATCCCAATAAAAATTGACAACTTAGAAACTAAACGCTTTAAAAAATCTGAAAATTAAAGCTAAAACAATAGCTATGATCATACTGCAGGTCAATTTCGATTTTTCACACATATGGGATTATTTCTGTGTGGTGCTCCACATTACATTTCAAACAAGACCTCCGTCAGAGAAAGACTCCAGTGTGAACTCTCTATCACACTGAAGCAACCCGCATGCATGTAAACATGGATGCTACATGTTAGCATGTGTGGATCGATTCTACAGTTGTTGCACAATCTGAGCTGATTAAATAATTATTAGACAAGCTTGTTTCATCCAGCATTTACATCTGAACCTGCCTCTGCTCGATGTTGGTATCAATATTCCAAATATTTTAATTCAACTACTTACCCTTACCTCACTAATATAAAGGTGGAATGAAATGCGACCCGACTGTTCAGACTGAGGTCGCTTTGAAAAACATCAGACATGTGTCCAATTTAGCACCACACATTGAAAAGACCTGGGTCAGACTGTAAAAGGATTTGTCACATTCAGATTATCAGGAAAACCTCTGGGTAAAAATACAATCATTTTAAAGCAACACTACAATAGTTAACTTCCTATCTGGCAACCCTGATATGGAAACTACAGCAGATTCAACGAGCACAGTAATGTAAACTGGGATTTTTTTATTTTTATTAGCCAACATAGAAAAAACACCAATGATTTTAGAGATTATTCTCATGTCAAAAGCGCCTAAATATATAATAAAGGCAACATAATACTAATGATTGTATTTGCCTTATTTATCTTTAAAGGAAAGCTGTTGGAACATCTCACTTCTGATAAAGAAAAGTTAACATCAGGTCATAAACATTACTGTGGAAATTAATCCAGAGCTATAAAATTAAAAGATGAGGGAGGCAACACTTCCATGTTCTCTGAACCTGTGTTTTTGAGATTTTAAATCAATTATTAATCATAGTGTTTGGCTGTATTAATTGGCGACGGTTTTGGAAAATGAAATAAATTTAAAGTCTGAAAATCAAGCAGATGAATAAGAAAAAGCAGACAGGAGTTTGAGAGGTCTTACATTGGACCGGGGAAACGGGTTGTACTGTTCAACAGGCTCTATGTTGGAGGTGGTCACCTGTGTGACAGAAGGATCCTGGAAAAACAACAAGACGTGGTTTTCATCATCAACATTTACAGAAACAAACATGTACTTTGGCTCACTCAGATAAAATCACTGAAAGAGGACCTGATTTTACAGCCTGTTAGTCACCTGTGACTTTCTTTAATCATCTCTGAAGGAAAACCATGCAGAAATATTTACAGCTGTGTAGCTTGTCTTAAACTCTGTGAGATAATTCTTGCATGTAAAAGATAAAAAATTTTCCCAGACCATCTGATCCCAATCTCTGACAAAATCATGAAATAACCCACAGAAACATGCTGCCGCTGTTGCATCAACAACTTCTAAAGGTCAAGATGAATCATTAGCTTGGTCGGCAGACGTTAATGATTAAATGGCTTTAGTGGTTTTTGTTTGATCAAGAACCTCTCAAGTAGTTTCTCTGTTTGCTAAAAGTCTCATAAGATTTTAAGAACTTCAGACACTTTTCAAAACGTTGGACAGAATCAAAGCTTTTCTCTCACATATTCAGAATCAGATTCTTGGAAGAAGTTCCTCAGGCTGAGCTGAAAGTGATACGTTTATCGGCTGCTATCTGTTCTTAAAAATAACCATAAATCTATGTAAACAATGTGAAATTTATACATATACATAACAGTTTTTAAAAATGACATTTATATAAAGACTGCGAAGAAATTTGAGACTGGAGTTGTTTTAAAGAGCCATCTGCAACAGGTTAGATGTTAACTGTTAATAACCTTTCTACAGATGTGAATTATCCTTTTACTGTAACACATTTCTTTTTACGGGTGTGCTGAGTCACATTTCAGTATGAAACGTGTCAATGATGTGACACAGTGACTGTTTGTTTGATGGGTGTGAGATCAGCCGATTAAACAACCTCCCAGCAGCTGCAGCGAGGTGTAGATCGCTCCGTTGCCATTTTATATTTTAGTGTTGTCATCCTGAAATAAACGGTAGCATTTAAACTAAAAAACGAAATGTGTGGCTCTTTTCTCCTTTCGTTACAGGTGTCTGTTTACTGTAGCACTAAGGGTCTACACTCTACATAAAAACTTATTTATTTAGCTCTAACTAGAAAAATGACACCTATATTAGTAATTTATCAAAGCAAGTCCCGTTTCCTGGTGCAAGGGATATTTAAGATCTCAAATTTAATTTGCCACATTGTGTTAAAAATCTATACAACCATTATAAGTGGTGTAAAACTGTCCATTTTGTTGCTCTTCTGAGCGTCATGCTGTCTTGTTTTAGTGTATCCTGGTTCAGTCCTTATTTAAAAGAGGATTTATGCTTCCTGTCTTCAGTTTTATTTGTTATTTTCTAAGATGTGTAATAAAATAAATAAGCCCTTTGTTTTTACCTGACAACATTTCACGTGTGCTTTAGAACCAGGTAAGAGCAGATAAAGCATTGACGTCATGTGACCACAGACTGACATACTCACTCTTTACACAATTTAAGGAAGAACTAATTGTGACAATAATTTAAAACATTTTAACTTGTGGACTTGCTTGACTGTTTATAACACAAGGATCATGTTCTAAATGCTAGATACCATCATCATAACATCGTTCTAACTATTAAAACTGCTAATATTTGTATGTATAGAAAACCACAGCCATAACGCTGAGACATTTCTTCATTTTCATTGGTTGAAATGAGTGAATACGTAGGAATTTAAAAAATATATCCCCAAAAAAGGTTACTGAGTCACTGTCAAGTGTAATAATGAATTTAAAAAAATATTATTATTATAATTTATTAGGACTGGCCACCAGGAACAATTTGTTTAAAATGTTTCATTCACTGAGCACAATGATCCTGTTCATTCTTGACTTAATGTTTAAAATAATACTAATAATAATAATAATAATAACAAATGTAATTTGACAAAGATGAAATTATATTTTAATTTTTGGGTCTAAAAATTGGTTATATTTTACAGTAACTCCTATTATTAACTCTGTTCAGTGTTCTGTTTCAAACCAGTCAGTTGTTGCTCATAAACTGCTTCCAGAGTTTCTGAAAGTGATTCTTGTGGCCAAAATGCTGTTTCCTTAACTGGATCTAAGCAACCTTATTGCAGGCCCAGCCAGCAAACTTTATAAGCAAAGTTGGAAATACATGTAAAGAACATAAACACACCTTAATATATCCAAGTTCTCTTAAAAAATAAGACTAATATGACCGGAGCTGATTAAGATACAGAATAAAAAATATGTGACTGATAAAATTTGTCAGTAAAAATAATTGTTTGTATGAATATCAACATTTTTGTGAATATTTTATACAAAATTAGGTCTTTTTTAGGATGATATCTGAAAGAAATTCATTTCTAAAAAAAAGGTAAAAACATGAATCACACAGTCCTTTTGCACATGTGCCAACAAAAAGGTCAGAGGTCACCTGGAAACAAGTTCACCTCAGCTGCTATTAAGAAGAAAATGCAAAAAAGAAAAGAAAAAAGCAGAAACTGTTGGTGCTCTTATATTTACCTTCATTCCAATTTTTTACCACAACAGGAAGGAAGCAAAGATTTTCAAGAGTCATTGAAGAACAACTACAGGTGGTTAGTACCAGTTCTTATAATAAGTGGATGATGATGATGATGATGATGATGATGATGATGATGATGATGATGATGATGATGACTTTGTAGCTGTTGACCTAAAATATTTCCTGAGATGTTCCTTGAACTAAGCAAATTTATTTGTTTATTTGTAAATTTTTGGTGTCTCAGAATCAATATATTAACAATGAGGACCCTTGACCAGAGGTCCCTTTAAGTTAGAGCAAAGATGTGCAGCCATGTTTGTTGATATTTTTTGAATTGCTTCAGCACGTTACAGATTTACTGTCCACAATTGTGTCGTACACGCAAATGTAAACCACTAATTATTTACTGCTTTTCTCAAAACATCATCTTCAAAGAAAGGACTGCTCAATTTAAGTATAAATATTCACTGAGAGATTTAAAGATAACTCAATTTAAAAATGTCAATAAGTCAGTTTTAAAGAAATTGAATAAAAAGTCACTTATAAATGACACATTTATGCAGCTGATTTATCCGTTCACTTTAAAGCAAAACATCACTTTTATCTCAGAACAACACGTAGGTTACATCCTGTTAGTGTGAAACCTCTTAATGGTCTAACATGGGTGCCAATATAGGGTATAAATAATCCCAAACAAATGAATAAACACAGGCAGACATTAATATGAATTATTCTTAAGATGAAGGGTAACTGCGGCATTGATTTCTAAGGGTTTTATCACATTCTCCGTTGGCTACAGTTTAACTTCCTGAAACTTTACTCTAGACGTAAACCGCCTTCTCTGCCAACAACCACCGCTGATTGGCTAAACAGCTGTCAATCACTCTGTTCTGGCAAATGGCTTTGCAGCAGCAGTTAACAAGTCCCACCTCGCCACCCACCCAACAAGTTTCCTGGCTTGGGCCCCGTTTAACGAATCAACTCCCGCAGTTCTCGCCACATACTGAAAAGGAAAAAAAAAAAAAACTTAACCCGCATACTTACGTTAAAGGGATTAGGATCTGCGAACGGGTTGTTGTCAAAATCCGACATTTTGAAAAGAGAGCGAGGCGTTTTATGTCCTCAGAAAAGTGGAGTCAAAAACAAACTCCGTGTCGCTTCAGCAGCCTCTCCTGTCCACTTCCGCGAGTAAATCAGACAGCGCATGCGCGGTAAACTAGGCGGCTAATAACGGGTGCGTCATTTGCCACATTGAATAGAAGCGTGTCTTTTTTTTTCTTCACTAAACTGACATGCACCTTATAAATAATGAAAATACACTGCACAAAAACGAATACAACTCTTTATTTATCCTACAACCAACGTTTTATCTGTATTGATTTTAAACCTGACTTCTGTTTGTTGTGAAAACACCACTAAATGATGTAATTTACATGCATAATGGTTGTGGTTTATTGATGCAATTTACTTCAACTTTGTCTTTTCTTCTTAGCTACGTATTGACAAAAATAAAGTAATCTGGTATGGAGGACGGAACCTATCATAATGGGAAATAAATGTAGAAACATATAAATGGCTTGAAAAAGTAAATACATGACTAAATAAAATAATAATGTGGCAAATTTAGCAACCAAACAATAAAAATATACCATTTTTACCAATTTATTTGATTAAAAAGTACTACTTTAATTAATATTTATCATTTTTAACAGTATTAATGTAACATTATCACAACTATTACACTTTTTAATCAAATAAATTGGTAAAAAATAGTATATTTTTTATTGTTTGGTTGCTAAATTTGCCACATTATTATTTTATTTAGCCATTTATTTACTTTTTCAAGCCATTTATATATTTCTACATTTATTTCCCATTATGATAGGTTCTGTCCTCCATAGTCTCAGACCCCCGTCGTGCAGATATTGAGATTTATATTTGGTCAAAGTAAAGCCAGTGTGTGCAGAAAGTGGTCAAACCATTCACTTTACCCTAAAGCAAAATGCAAACAGTCAAAATGAGTGTCAGGTCACAGCTTAAAAATGCTTTTTCAAAGAAATATCTCAAGAAAATTTTAACTTTTGAACAACTTTGATTTGCAGCACCCCTCCGTTTGAGGGGATAAATGTACCCAAAAAATGCCACCTGATTCCCTCATAAAAGTCAACTTTTTTTTATCTACAGTCCATTTTCCTTCCTGTGTGGACTGCAGCCTTTTAACCCACAAATTATCATGATGAGAAGAGTTTTTTTATTTTCAAGAAGTGACTTCTTCAGTGTGTATTTGTTAAATTTTACTCATCTTTGTGCATTTGTTTAAAACATGTTTGGCCCTCTCCAGGTCAGGTGAGTCAGCTGCATCATCATCATCATCATCATCATCATCATCATGTGCCTCTCAGCATGTAGGCGTGTCTGATGATTTCCTGCAGGTCTGCTGTCATTCCTCATGATGACGTGTTACTGATAGTGTTGCAGTCTGTACTGAGTTTCAGTTTAACCTGTTTGACAATCTCATATTAGATTCTTGATTGTTAAATACATAGATCAGAACATTCCAGAAATTACATATGAGCAGTTGTCTCGGGATAAATATGTCACCAAATAAACTCTTGGTAGAAATTTGCATCGTAAACAGGGTGAAACTATTCCCAAAAATGGGCATTGAAAATGTTGAAAGAGGTATCAAAATTGAGTCATAAAATGTGGTAAACACCTCGTGCTGCTTCAAAACTGACCTTTACTTACTGGGAAATATTGCTATGAATTATTAATGAATCCAAATATCTATCCATCTATCTATTTATCTGTCTAGATATAGATGTTATTTTTTACAGATCTTTTTTATTATTATTTTAGGATGACTTTTATGTGCTCAGTGTTAACCCAGGCCTGTGACTAAAATCTGTTTAAAAAGGTGATATATTTTCTCTGCACTTGGTGCAGCAAATGTTTATCCTTTTAAATCTTGAAATGCAAAATGCTGAAACTATGGAATAATAAATAATAATAATGTAACCAAGGGTATTAGAGAACGTGGTCATTTAGAAATAATAATAATGGCATGCAGCGTGTTCGGCCTCTCTTTACACAAAATTTCTGGTACATTTCAAAATAAGAGCATCAACATAAACATCTTACAATGGGCGGGGCTTAGAGTCAGTCAACGTTCGTTGTGTTTCTTTGATGATGACCTCAGTTCCAAAGACGTGTTTGATACTTCTGTTCTGTTCAGAATCACTTTGTTCCAGAGTTTTGCTACAAGTACACCGCTAAACATACAGCGTGTAAAATAAGTATTGAACACGTCAATATTTTTCTCAGTAAAAATATTACTAGAGGTGCTAATGACATGAAATTTTCACCAGATGTCAGTAACAACCCAAGTGATCCATACATACAAAGAAATCAAACCATAAATGTCCAGAAATGAAGTTATTTGTAATAATGTGGAATGGCACAGGGAAAAAGTATTGAACACATAAAGAAAGGGAGGTGTAAAAAGGCATGGAAAGACAAGACACCAGCTGAACTCTCTCAGTAATTAGAAAGCAAGCCTGCCCCTTGTCAGTGCAAGTTAATATCAGCTGGTTCAGACCCAAATGATGGCCAGGTATCACACAAGAACCATCTGATGATGGGTAAAAGTAAAGAGCTCTCTCAAGACCTTCACAACCTTATTGTTGCAAAGCATAATGATGGCATCGGTTACAGAAGAATGTYTAAACTTCTGAAGGTTCCAGTGAGCACTGTTGGGGCCATAATTCAGAAGTGGAAAGAACATTATTTCACCATAAACCGACCACGACCAGGTGCTCCTCGCAAGATTTCTGACAGAGGAGTGAAAAGAATTCATGTCATTAGCACCTCTAGTAATATATTTTCTGAGAAAAATGTTGACGTGTTCAATACTTATTTTACCCGCTGTATCCTCAAGATATCAACTTAGTTTTAACTTTTATTCTTCATAAAACCTTCATAAAAACTCACCATGAATGAAGAAGTGATTTCCCCACTCCTTTCCAGTGAAGTGATCCGAATTAAGGTCTGGCAGGGGCCTAAAACTGTGGTCAGCAATACAACTGGGATCCAGGTTCCCATAAAGACCCAAATCAAATCCTAATGATTATGGAGCATTTCCTATCAGTGGTTACTCCAGAGCTGGACTCATGTGCAGAGAATCTGTCTGCTGTGATCCCTGAAGATGTCCAGCTTAATTTGATGAGGGACTTCACTAAACTGTTTGCCAAGATCACCATGGCAAAACATTACTGTCTGTCTGAGAACGCAATGGATTCTGTTTGCAACAAAATGGCTGAGTGTTTGTCAGATCTGTCTAATCTCAACAGAAATATCCAGAAGGACGCCTTGCATTGTTTCAGAGACTCTGCTGACAGCCGCGTGTCAGAGTCTGGAGAGAAACTAAAGTTTTCAAAGGAACATCAGCGAGTCACTCAGTGCTGGCTCTAGCCAGTTTGGTGCCCTAGGCGAGTTGAAGCGCTCTCCTCTCCTCTTGTTTCGCAGCAGGCGCTTTCACGTCCTCAACGAAGCTGACACCCCCCCCCACCCCCCACGGGGGCGAGTTGTGTGGATTTTTTGCAAAATTTATGGATTTTTGAGGCTTTTATACAGGTAAACATCCAAAGAGGTTGACATGTATGGGACAACAAAATACAGACTGGTTGTTATTGAGTTTGTCAACATGAACCGCTACCTGAGAGGCACTACTAGCCCCTCCCCTGTCAGAGTGTCGGAGCAGGACGAGTCAGTGCAACAACAATCAAGTGAGAGAGAGTGTGGGGGCGATTGCTACATTGGGGGGCATGTTTTATGGGTAGAGTAGTTTATTTTTCCTGTAATAGGCCTGCTTCATTATAGTTTTTTAAGACAAAGCTAAATGAAAGGGGCGTTGAGCAGAGTTACAACCAGGGATTACAAATAATTACTTTTTTTTTCTTCTGCAGTTCGGCGCCCCCTTCAGCAGATGCACTCTAGGCGACCGCCTAGTTTGCCTATGCCAAGAGCCAGCTCTGGAGTCACTGGCATCCAGAAAACTTAAGGTGCCACCAGCGAAGTCTTGAAAATGATGAGAGCCAGCAGAGCAAATCTAAGGTACAATCATTCAATTTTCTTCAGAAGCCCAGAGAAACAGGCAGGATTTGATGGCAGATGTTCTTCCATCTAATCAGCAAGCCATGGGAGAACATTACCCCAAATCAGCCTCTAAGAGGATATTTTCAGTGGAATATATAATTTACCCTGTATCTGACTTACCTAAATTTCAGGATGTTGGGATTAAAAAATCATCACCATCAGTCAGATGAACTGAGACCAGATTGTCAAAGTCTACAGTCACCCAGGGTTTGCTTTGCCTCTTGCAGCCCAAAAGAAGATAACAAAATAAACGCACAGATAGAGAAGGACTTTGATGCCCTTTCAAAGAAATATTCCTTCACTCATGCATTCAATCATTGTCAAAAACTTGCCAAAGATATTTATAAACATTTCTTGAAGTCCCAAGATACAGAAGACGGTTTGAGATTTCTCGCATCTTTTAAAGAAAACCTTATCAACTTGGGACATTTCTGTACAGAAGCAGCTTAAGAGAGCTAGTTAACAAATGTTTTAAAAAGGCATTTGAGCTGGTTTGTGAAGTAACAAAGCTAATCCACTATCAGTCTTTAATGTCAATGAACCAGAAAAATGACAGTAGAAGGAAATAAAAGTCACTCTGAAAAGAAAGAGTCCAACTCCGTTGAGCAGATTTTGGATTTGAAGCAAGAGCCACGTCAAACAGTGCAGAATTTAAAATGGTTGTGAAAACACTGGTAGAAAACCTGGCTCTATGTGTTTTAAAGAAGTCAGTCAGGCAGCTTGTTGACAACAACCCTTACAACATGATTGAAATTACAGAAACTTGTGGCCTGAGGTGAAAGATGTGGGACGTGACAGTCAATAAAAAACTAATCAAAGCCTTCTTCAATCACCTCCATGAGCCATGGAAGTGTGTTCCAAAGGTCGTGATCATTTACGTGGATGTAGAAGTGCCAACAAATGACCAAGTGTTTGTTTCTGAAACAAGACAGAAAAGTCAAAGAAGCAAAAAACATGGACATTTATATCAGCTTTGGGGAGGCTTCAGAGATTTGTTTTATGTTTGGGGTCTCTCTGGAAAGCTGAAACAGCTGCTGAACTAATAGTCTCCATTTATATTTGTGGTTTTGTTTTATCAGAATACCTTTTTTTTTACTTAAGAACATCTCTAATTCCAAAATGTGTGCAGTTTTCGTGGGTTTTTGTGTCTAGGTTTTCGCTGAGTACTTCATTTTTTTCCCCACAGTCAAAAAGAAAAACAATATGTGTGTGTCTGAATGGTTGTACCAAATTCCCTGTATACCCGCACAGAAAAATAATTTTCAGTCTGGTACCATCTTACAATACAAACAAAGCCCTTAGTTCAGCACCAATACATAAAAATACTAAAAATAAAAATATTAATTAAAAAATTTTAAAATCCCTTCTGCAGAATTGCCACTTTAACGTGGTGGAAGGGTTTGAGTGACCTCATGATCTTGGGGCTGTGTTGTCCAGAGGATCATCCTCCGTTGGGTCTCAGTTGGCACACTGGCCTCAGTTGAAGGGTCAGAGTGATTCATAAATCAGGACCAACAAGTGGCCTCGCCCCGTGTGAGCCTCATAACGAGCAAGAGATCTGTGACAGGTGTTCAATAATCTGACACTTGTTTAAAAGTGGAGAACAGACGGGCTGTGAAGAAGTTTTTCTCTACAGAACAACACTCTGATTTACATAAATAAGTTTTAACAATAAATGTCAATTTGCAATGAAATGTACTCATATTTTATACAAGAACATTAAAAGATTTTTATATCCTCTATAACATTGATTATATAAGTTTTTGTCAAAGAATTATTTCTTTCCTGTAAAGTTTTTCTATATGTTGTGATGATTTCAATATGACCACCACTAGATAGCACCATCAGGAAGAGATTGTCTTGCAGTCTCTGATGCAGTTTCAGCACTGCAAAGAATCCTTTAACCTGCATCCAGAACTACATCAAATCCAGTCAATAAAGAAGTGAGAACATTAATACATTCAAATGAAAATGTGAAATATTTGTTACTGTTGGAAAAAATGGGAGAAAAACGTAATTCTTGTCCTTAGTGTTGAACTGACGTGGAACAGAAAAGGTGCAAAGTAAAGTTAAGTAAATCACAGGGAAAGCATTACAACGTATTTTAACCTAAAAATATCTAGAATAGTTTTTAAAAAGACAATTTTTAAATAATTAAAAAAAAATTCAATAAGTTTGTTGCTGTAGAATTTGATTAAATGGTAAGACGGCCTGCCATTCTGGGAGGGTTCAGGGGGCGGAGCCACCAGCAGGCTGACCGTGGTCGTCGCAGTCATGGAGGAAGTAAAAGGTGAGTGAGATTTTCTTATTCAAACCAGCTTCAAATAAACTTTTCCACCGATATACATAATTTATCCTTATTCCGCGTCTGTTTACGTACACTTTGTGAGAATAAATGCTAGTTTCCGTTTTGAAATAATGCAAGTAAAAGCGCGTTTTTAGCGCGCACTCATTTAGCCGGCTTTCTTGTTTGTAGCCTGCTGTCATGGTCAGAGCTACACTGTTAGCGCTTATTTGCAAAATTATAGAAAGATCCACTTAGCTTGTCTTTTTGGCCAAATCTGATACATTTCATTGCATTTTGTCAAAAGCTAAATGTCTCTAATGTGAAATGCTGACACAGTTTCTGTCCGTGAACGCTCCATAATCAGATGGTCGGTGTTCTGCCCAATAATGTATCCTCAGCAGATCAGCTCTCCTGGTTAAATCAACACATTTTTAAATTGGGTTCTCAATGTTGTTTATCATTGTCAGAATACAAAAGGTAATTAAAAACTATAAACTAATTTTAGTTTTTGTAAACTACTATTTAATTCATTCAAGATGTACGTTTTATTTGTTTAATTACTACTTATTAAATTTGACAGTTGTGCTTATTAATCATTGCCTTCTTTTTTATTCATAACAGTACAAGTTTACAAAAATATACAAACTGAAAAAATAGCATCCATTGAGTTGCCCTTTATTAGATTTTTAACTGCAAAATTTCTTTTCCCTGGCAAGTTTGCTACACTATACTAATATTGACCTACTGTTATGAAGACACCAAGAAGTTTTTTTGTATCTCTAAAACAATGCTTCAGTTATATACTTGCTCAATAATATACTGTATGTTTTGTTCTTAGTGTTTCCTCTGACCTGTGCTGTACAAAATTATGCGTGGGGTAAAGTTGGACTGGACAGTGAGGTGGCCAAGCTGGTGCTGGGTGGGGACCCACTCGCAGTGATAGAAGATAATAAACCTTATGCTGAGGTAAGAACCAAATATATGTGTTGTGTTTAATCAGTGTAAGTAAAGGTGACTGGCAAAAAGGAGTGCCTATTATTTTTTTAAAGATCATTTTTAAGAAGCACAGCACCTACTAGCTTTTAGAAATTCTGGGACAGAAACACGTAATTTTTAACTATTTCTTTTGCAGTAGGCCTAATTATACAGTGGTTTGCAAAAGTATTCATACCCCTTGAACTTTTCCATATTTTGTCACATTACAACCACAAACATAAATATATTTCACTGGAA